ACTGAATCTAAGTTGACGGACTCTAGTGGCAATACCAACACGAGTACAGCAACCAATAACATCGTTGCTTCAAGTGATGGGAAAACTAAAACTACGACGACTGCAGGTAACACGGCTTACACCGACGGCACCAATAACGTTAGCGTAGGCAATAGTGGCTTATCTGTAAATGATGGTACCAATACAAGCAAAGTAACAGCTACTGGACTTACTGTAAATAATGGTCCAAGTGTTACTACCACAGGTATTGATGCTGCAAAAATGAAAGTAACCAATGTTGCAGATGGTGATGTAAATTCAACATCAAAAGATGCGATTAATGGTAGTCAGCTATATGCCACGCAACAAAGTGGTCTTAACTTTAAAGACAATAACGGCACAGTCACACATAAAAACTTGGGTGAAACCTTAACCATTAAGGGGACAGGAACCAAGGCCGATGATCAATACAATACAGCCAATATTAAAACCACTACGGATAGCAGTGGTAACGTTGTGGTGGGTATTGATCAGAACTCGAATTTCCAAACGGTTACTGCAACGGATACGAATGGCAACAACAGTGTGTTGTCGGGTACAGGCACAGCTGTAAAATCTAGCGATGGCAAAACGACAGCAAATTATGATTTAACTGAATCTAAGTTGACGGACTCTAGTGGCAATACCAACACGAGTACAGCAACCAATAACATCATTGCCTCAAGTGATGGAAATACAAAAACCACGACGACTGCAGGTAACACGGCTTACACCGATGGCACCAATAACGTTAGCGTAGGTAATAGTGGCTTGTCTGCGAGCAATGGCTCGAATAGCAGTACTGTTACTGCAACCAACGGTTTAAATGTTACTGATGGCACCAATACAAGCAAAGTCACAGCCACTGGACTTACTGTAAATAATGGTCCAAGTGTTACTACCACAGGTATTGATGCTGCAAAAATGAAAGTAACCAATGTTGCAGATGGTGATGTAAATTCAACATCAAAAGATGCGATTAATGGTAGTCAGCTATATGCCACGCAACAAAGTGGTCTTAACTTTAAAGACAATAACGGCACAGTCACACATAAAAACTTGGGTGAAACCTTAACCATTAAGGGGACAGGAACCAAGGCCGATGATCAATACAATACAGCCAATATTAAAACCACTACGGATAGCAGTGGTAACGTTGTGGTGGGTATTGATCAGAACTCGAATTTCCAAACGGTTACTGCAACGGATACGAATGGCAACAACAGTGTGTTGTCGGGTACAGGCACAGCTGTAAAATCTAGCGATGGCAAAACGACAGCAAATTATGATTTAACTGAATCTAAGTTGACGGACTCTAGTGGCAATACCAACACGAGTACAGCAACCAATAACATCATTGCCTCAAGTGATGGAAATACAAAAACCACGACGACTGCAGGTAACACGGCTTACACCGATGGCACCAATAACGTTAGCGTAGGTAATAGTGGCTTGTCTGCGAGCAATGGCTCGAATAGCAGTACTGTTACTGCAACCAACGGTTTAAATGTTACTGATGGCACCAATACAAGCAAAGTCACAGCCACTGGACTTACTGTAAATAATGGTCCAAGTGTTACTACCACAGGTATTGATGCTGCAAAAATGAAAGTAACCAATGTTGCAGATGGTGATGTAAATTCAACATCAAAAGATGCGATTAATGGTAGTCAGCTATATGCCACGCAACAAAGTGGTCTTAACTTTAAAGACAATAACGGCACAGTCACACATAAAAACTTGGGTGAAACCTTAACCATTAAGGGGACAGGAACCAAGGCCGATGATCAATACAATACAGCCAATATTAAAACCACTACGGATAGCAGTGGTAACGTTGTGGTGGGTATTGATCAGAACTCGAATTTCCAAACGGTTACTGCAACGGATACGAATGGCAACAACAGTGTGTTGTCGGGTACAGGCACAGCTGTAAAATCTAGCGATGGCAAAACGACAGCAAATTATGATTTAACTGAATCTAAGTTGACGGACTCTAGTGGCAATACCAACACGAGTACAGCAACCAATAACATCATTGCCTCAAGTGATGGAAATACAAAAACCACGACGACTGCAGGTAACACGGCTTACACCGATGGCACCAATAACGTTAGCGTAGGTAATAGTGGCTTGTCTGCGAGCAATGGCTCGAATAGCAGTACTGTTACTGCAACCAACGGTTTAAATGTTACTGATGGCACCAATACAAGCAAAGTCACAGCCACTGGACTTACTGTAAATAATGGTCCAAGTGTTACTACCACAGGTATTGATGCTGCAAAAATGAAAGTAACCAATGTTGCAGATGGTGATGTAAATTCAACATCAAAAGATGCGATTAATGGTAGTCAGCTATATGCCACGCAACAAAGTGGTCTTAACTTTAAAGACAATAACGGCACAGTCACACATAAAAACTTGGGTGAAACCTTAACCATTAAGGGGACAGGAACCAAGGCCGATGATCAATACAATACAGCCAATATTAAAACCACTACGGATAGCAGTGGTAACGTTGTGGTGGGTATTGATCAGAACTCGAATTTCCAAACGGTTACTGCAACGGATACGAATGGCAACAACAGTGTGTTGTCGGGTACAGGCACAGCTGTAAAATCTAGCGATGGCAAAACGACAGCAAATTATGATTTAACTGAATCTAAGTTGACGGACTCTAGTGGCAATACCAACACGAGTACAGCAACCAATAACATCATTGCCTCAAGTGATGGAAATACAAAAACCACGACGACTGCAGGTAACACGGCTTACACCGATGGCACCAATAACGTTAGCGTAGGTAATAGTGGCTTGTCTGCGAGCAATGGCTCGAATAGCAGTACTGTTACTGCAACCAACGGTTTAAATGTTACTGATGGCACCAATACAAGCAAAGTCACAGCCACTGGACTTACTGTAAATAATGGTCCAAGTGTTACTACCACAGGTATTGATGCTGCAAAAATGAAAGTAACCAATGTTGCAGATGGTGATGTAAATTCAACATCAAAAGATGCGATTAATGGTAGTCAGCTATATGCCACGCAACAAAGTGGTCTTAACTTTAAAGACAATAACGGCACAGTCACACATAAAAACTTGGGTGAAACCTTAACCATTAAGGGGACAGGAACCAAGGCCGATGATCAATACAATACAGCCAATATTAAAACCACTACGGATAGCAGTGGTAACGTTGTGGTGGGTATTGATCAGAACTCGAATTTCCAAACGGTTACTGCAACGGATACGAATGGCAACAACAGTGTGTTGTCGGGTACAGGCACAGCTGTAAAATCTAGCGATGGCAAAACGACAGCAAATTATGATTTAACTGAATCTAAGTTGACGGACTCTAGTGGCAATACCAACACGAGTACAGCAACCAATAACATCATTGCCTCAAGTGATGGAAATACAAAAACCACGACGACTGCAGGTAACACGGCTTACACCGATGGCACCAATAACGTTAGCGTAGGTAATAGTGGCTTGTCTGCGAGCAATGGCTCGAATAGCAGTACTGTTACTGCAACCAACGGTTTAAATGTTACTGATGGCACCAATACAAGCAAAGTCACAGCCACTGGACTTACTGTAAATAATGGTCCAAGTGTTACTACCACAGGTATTGATGCTGCAAAAATGAAAGTAACCAATGTTGCAGATGGTGATGTAAATTCAACATCAAAAGATGCGATTAATGGTAGTCAGCTATATGCCACGCAACAAAGTGGTCTTAACTTTAAAGACAATAACGGCACAGTCACACATAAAAACTTGGGTGAAACCTTAACCATTAAGGGGACAGGAACCAAGGCCGATGATCAATACAATACAGCCAATATTAAAACCACTACGGATAGCAGTGGTAACGTTGTGGTGGGTATTGATCAGAACTCGAATTTCCAAACGGTTACTGCAACGGATACGTGTCAGGTACAGGTACAGCTGTAAAATCTAGCGATGGCAAAACGACAGCAAATTACGGTCTGAATCAGGCGAAATTGACCGACTCTAGTGGCAATACCAACACGAGTACAGCAACCAATAACATCGTTGCTTCAAGTGATGGGAAAACTAAAACTACGACGACTGCAGGTAACACGGCTTACACCGACGGCACCAATAACGTTAGCGTAGGCAATAGTGGCTTATCTGTAAATGATGGTACCAATACAAGCAAAGTAACAGCTACTGGACTTACTGTAAATAATGGTCCAAGTGTTACTACCACAGGTATTGATGCTGCAAAAATG